ATCTCCAGTGAAATTGAGCTTGTCTTGTGTCCATACGTATAAATACTTACCAAAAGCTCTATGATACTGGGGACACATCAAATTTCTGAGTGGAGTATCTGTCTATCTGGCAGTTTACAGAGTTCTGAATTTTTAATATATATTTTGTCTTTAGGCACTTCGTAACATGGTGCCACTGATAGATATGATCCAAATGAATCTTTCTTGGCTTCTTAACTGATTATATAGCTGTGGGAAAGTTACTTTGCTGTTCTAAGACTCTGCTTTCTCATCTGTAAAATAATACTATTATCATAGGATTAGAGATGATGGACGATAATATGGATAAAGCCCTTAGGATAGAGGCTGACTCATAGTAAGTGCTCAGTAAATGTCACCTATTACTGTAATTAAATTAAAATATTAAAGAATATGTCCTATATTAAAGAAATTTTATTTTAGAATTATTAAATAGGTGTGTATAGACAAGGCCAAGGGAATGAAGTATGAACAACAATTATCCTGAGATCTGGAATTATTAAGAGGACCGATTTCTGGGATACAGATTTGCTGGGAATTACTGTTAAAAGCTCCAGCTAGGGAGGATGCTCCCTCTGGGGCATCTCTGAGTAGTACTGACTACAGGTGTGGACTCCTCTCTGGGGATAAAAATTTCAAAGGGCATAGACTTTCTGAAAGTGCTAGTGTCAAGCTTCTTGCCTTTTTACTCCCCATGGCTTAATTAAGTCAGTTCCCATCCTTCAGTTTTGTGAACCATAGGTAGATCTGCAGTGTGTGTATTTAATAAGGATTTACTCAGGAAATAAATTGTGTCTCTTTCACCTTCAAGCCTACCCCGGTTACTGGTGGGGAGCTGGCAGACTGTCAAATCCTATTCTTTTGGGGGCAATCCATGGCCAGGATTTTTTGTGGAGCTGGGAACTCACCACAGGGGATGTGGCTGCTTGTCAGAGATGCAAACAGAAGCACTGAAGCTTCTGGGCTTAAATGAGTTGATTTCCACCAAGTTTTTGGACCATCTTCAAAAAGTAGGACTGTTCTAGGAACTTAGGGGTGGGATGGATGGAAGAATCACAGGTTTCTAAGACACAATCCTGACCCTCAGAGATGTGTAACCTGGTGGGAGAGATGGATATATTGACAGCTAACCATAATGCAAGGTCGAGTGAAACATGAGCCTTGCTTATGGTACAAAGCAATGGGCCAAGAAACCCAGAGGAAGGAGAAATCACACCTAACTGGTTGGATGAGAAGGACTAAGATTTCAAAAGGTAGAAAAGTGGGGAAAGGGCATTGTGGGTGGTTGGAGCTGCTGAAGCATGTCTGTGCTTAGATTAATAGAGTTTGGCAAATTGTGTGGGTAACTGGAGTGTGGGCAAGGTAGAGGATGCAGGAGTGGGAGAAACAGCAGGCCAGATCTTGAACTCCACCTTCAGGACTTTCTAGGGCCATTTTAGGTCTTCTTGAAATGTAGTGTCCCTGGAGGCCCTGATGTTGTTGATAGAAATCATATTAAAATGCCTTATATCCCACATTCTGATTGATATGTATGATAAGAGCCGAGTTGAGTGAGTTGAGCTATAGTTGTTTCAGTTACCTACAGATGTGGTCCTGGGACCAATGCCAGTCCAGGGAGAGTTTGGAATCAGTTTGGGATAAGTACAGAACTTGAGACATTGCCACAGCAACCAAGTGTGTGATCGTTTTTCTAGTAACTCCTTTTTAACTTCCAAAAAGATTGGTTCACAATACATTGGTCCAAAATACACTGGAAATTTTAAAATTTTGATGGTTCAAAACTTTTCATACATTGGAATTTTTACATAAAAGTTTAGAAGCATTAATCTGATTGAAATAATATTATGTTTTGAAGACATTTGAGATTGAAAATGAACTTGAAGATAGAGCAATAGAAATTATACAGTCTGAACTGTGGAAAGAAAAAGATGGAAATATCTAGTACTTACCATCATATCTACATTACAGTAAATTATGCCTAAACATTTTGAATTAGTTGGAGATAATATTGGGACAAGCACAGAAATCCATTCAAACTAAGCTGAAACAAAACAAAATGTATATGTGCATGGGTTGTCGTTAGAAGGTTATAGAAGTCCCTTGTATTAGTCCAATTTTAAGCTGCTAATAAAGACATACCTGAGACTGGGTAATTTATAAAGAAACAGAGGTTCAATGGACTCACAGTTTCAGATGGCTGGGGAGGCCTCAGAATTATGGCGTTAGAGCAAGGGGCAAGAGAGAGCTTGTGCAGGGGAACTCACCTTTATAAAAACCATCAGATCTCGTGAGGTCTATTCACTATCATGAGAACAGCATGGGAAAGACCCGCCCCTATGATTCAATTACCTCCCACATGGTCCTGCCCACAACACACGGGAATTGTGGGTGCTACAATTCAAGATGAGATCTGGGTGGGGACACAGCCAAACCGTATCATCCCTTGAGGAATTCAAGGGCAGGGAGCTGCATCCAATGGCTAACCAGCATGGATACTGCCTACATAAAAAGACCTGGTCCCCTTGCTCTAACTTGAGACAACTGAGAAGGGACATCCCAGCTCAGCTGTCTCAAGTTAGAGCAGCTACCAGGTTGCCTGAGGCTTTTATTAGAACTTTGTCACAGTTTAGTGCCTCCCTCCACCCAATCCTATTTCCATTTTCTCCTTCCCAGGTGATAACCTCAAGAGGACTCCTTAATTAATGTCTGTACAGTAACTTCTCAGAGTTTGGTTACCAGATAACCCAACCAGGAACACTGTACCTCCCCATCTTCCTCTCACCATCCCTCCCTCCCCACTTCCTCTTCCTTTTTGCTCTCCCTTGTTCCCTCTTTTCCTCCCTCTTTTTCTCACCCTTTTTCTATCTTCTTTCTTCTCTCTATTCTCTCTCTTGCTCTCCCTCATACTGTGGAGTTTCTCACGTTGGCTCCTTTCTGAGCTCTCATGTCATTCTCTTCTCACTTTCTGACCAATTTTCTCAGCTCTTCTGGCACATGGACCATCATGGCTGCCCCCAAATGGTGTCTTCAGCTCCCCAGTCACCATCACTGTGGTATATGCTGTCGGTATCTCACCCCGATGCCTTTACTGGGCTGACGTCCTCATCCTGCAGCTGCTGTGGGTGTCAGTTAATAACAGCTCATATGTGTACCCTTCTCTGGAGGACTATCCTTTACCAACTGGAAGCTTCTCTCCTGGAGATGCCCAAAAGGTTTTGCCTCACACTCCTTGGCCAATGACTGTCAGATGGGTGGGGGTGTGCAAAAGTCCATCCTCCTTGCCTCAAGGCAGGACACACTCCGTGGTACAATTCCCACTCTGGACAGCCCCCTAGGATCAGGTGTAGCCTGTCTTTTCCTGTCTTTGCATAGCATCTTCCCCTGTCCCATGCTGCTCCTCTCACTCCCTTCAGGTGTAGCCTGAGAGCACTCCCTCAATCAATCCCTCTGCCTCTAAGGAGCCTGATTTAGGCTCATCTCCTTACAGATCCTGTGCTTGTGGCAAATTGGCTCAGCCTTTGCTGTCCTAATTCCAAATATCCAGGAGACAGAACTCAAAGTTCTTTCTCTTTGAACTCCCATTCAAAGACCAGTGCTCCCTGTGTGCAGCTTGGCTCAGGCTGAGCTAAGCCCAGCATCTAGGACGAACACCTGGAGTTCATTTCAGGTGAACATTGGGAATGCATTACAGGTGCAACCTTCTGTGGCTGCAGAGGGGACAGAGTTAAATAGTATAGGGTAGATGAAGGGTACAGCGAGAGGGGACAACTCTCAGAAAAGGCTAGTCATTTCCTGCAAAGGTGAACCCTACCCGTGTCCTCCTCCTGAGTCTTTCTTGAATTAATTTTCTTTGTCTTCTCTTTACCCCTCATCAATCTTCCCATCTACATGCCAAGTTCTAATCAGATAGTGAATATTTGAAAAGTGGCACCACGTGATGGAGAAAGGACTGGGCTGAGTGTCAGGTTGGAAGATGGTCCTAATTCAGCTAGCTTACTTCACATACACCTCTGGGTCTCCAGCTTTAAGGTAGATTAGAGAGTCAGTTTGCTAGCTTCAACAGTCAGTGCTTTTCTGAAAACAAGAAGGGCTGGCTGAGTGCTTTGGCTCACACCTATAATCCCAGCACTTTCGGAGGCTAAGGTGGGAGAATTTCTTGAGGCCAGGAGTTGAGATTAACCTGGGCAACATAGCAAGACCCTGTCTCTACAACAATTTAAAAAATTAGCTGAGTGTGGTAGTACCTGCCTGCAATCTCAGTTATGCAGGAGGATCACTTAGCCCAGGAGTTTAAGGCTGTAGTGAGCTACGATTGCACCACAACATTACCGCCTGGGCAACACAGCAGGACCCTAAAATTAAAAAATAAAAACAAATAGGGCAGAATCTGGGTCTTTTAATCTCTGCATTCCTGAATTCAGCACAATGCCTGGCACAAAGAACACTGATAATGTATTTTTTAAAAGGAGCTATTCTCAGCTGGACGTGGTGGCTTATGTCTGTAATCCCAGCACTTTGGGGGGCCGAGGCAGTGGATCACCTGAGGTCAGGAGTTCAAGACCAGCCTGACTAACATGGCAAAACCCCACCTCTACTAAAAATACAAAAAAAAAAAAAAAATCCGGCTGTGGCGGCAGGCGCCTGTAATACCAGCTACTTGGGAGGCTGAGGCAAGAGAATTGCTTAAACCTGGGAGGCAGAGGTTGCAGTGAGTCGAGATGGCGCCACTTCACTCCAGCCTGGGTGACTGAGCAAGACTCCATCTCAAAATAAAAAAAAAAAAAAGGAGTTATTCTCTAAAAAATGAAATGATGGAGAATTACATTAACATAATAAGGTGGAGCATGATCCCAAAGTATGCAATATTCTGAGTGTGGGGTGCCTGTTAACAATAACTATCACTCGGTAAGTGCTTAGTTGTGCCACTTCCATGTTAAGTATTCGACTGCTGTTGTGTAACAAATCACCCAAAAACTTAGCCATTTAAAACAATTTAAGCCATTTTATTATGCTCATAGAGTCCGTGGGTCAGGCATTTGGACAGGACACAGTGGGGATGGCTTGTCTCTGCTCTGCAATGTCTGGAGCCTCTGCTGGGAAGATCTGAAGTCTGGTAGTGACTTGTCAGCTGGAGCTGGGATCACCCAGAGGCGTCTTCACTCACAGAACCGGTGGCTGAGGATGGCCTTGGCTGGGTCTGTTGACCAAGGCACCTACGTGTGGTTTCTCCATGGGGGCTGGGCTTCATCACAGAACGGTAGCCTCAGGCTAGTAGGACTTTTGAAGGTGGCTGCTCACAGCTCCAAAATCAAGTGTCCCAGTTTACAAGGTAGGAGAGAAGCTTCATCGTTTTTATGACCTAGCCTCAGAAATCAACTATATTATTCCCACCACATTCTATTACGAGCAAGTCATAAATTCATTCACGTTTAAGAGTAGGTGAACTAGGTACTGCCTCTTGAGGGGATGGGGGAAAGGCTGTCACAGAGCACATGGGATGGCAGCTATTGTTGTGGTCATATCTGGGAAATAAAATCCGCCGTGCATGTACTGTCTCATTTAATCCTTTCATTATCTTTGGAAGTAGGTATTAGTGTCCCTCTTTACAGGGAAAGAAACTGAGGCTCAGCGGGGCTAAGCAACTGGCCTGTGGACAAGGCCAGTACATGGCAGAGCTGGAGTTCAACCTAGCCTGTACAGAGCAGGTGTTCTCCAATAGCATATGATGCTGCTTACAGGAAAAGGGAACTGAAAAAAATAAGACATTCAAAGGCCAGTTTGGGAGTGAGGTATTCTTCTCTCCCATAATCCTGATGTCAGAGTTATTATCTTTCCCATATGGGAATCTGGTTCCTGTGCATAATCTCCAGGGAATTGCTTCACAGAAACTATGTAAGTATGTGTGTACCTTTGATGCCTCAAGTCTTCTAGATATGCCAGGGGCTGCCGTCTGCCCTTCCCGACCACACTTACATGGCAAAAGAGTCCAGCAAACCATGAGCAGGAGCAAGCTCTGACCACCTCCGTGAAGGCAGCACACAGAACCAGTTCGTGCCAGGAATATCTTCTCTGCCATGATCCCCCTTTGAAATTACATCTTCCTTTTAAGTTCAAACAAGAACCTAGACTTCCAGAAAGTCATCTTGGTACTCCCAGGATACTTATAATCTGGAATGTTTAGAAGGTACTTGGCACTCACTGCTTGCTCTGTAGGTTTTTTGTGTTGTAACACCCCAGTTAGTCTTCTAAGGCCTCAGAGGGCCTTATTCTGCCTCAGTCCCCCACCCCTGCTGAACAATACCCCATTCTTAGGAGGTAGGCAATAATTAGGTCAAAAGGCCTCAGAAAGTTTATTATGATATTATAACAGGAGGACACATGCTTCTTTAAAAGCATTTTTTGAGAGCCTACTGTATCACAGGCATTGTGCTAATGACCCATGTGATCCAGAAGCAGAAATTTAGAAAATCAGGTATGAGCCTTTTGGGCACTCTGCAGCAGGTAAATAACAAATCAAAATTGTATCTAGAAGTGAAGCATCCTTGGTCAGATTAAGAGGCCTTCATGACAGGTACATTTGAGGCAAACGCTGTAAGGTTACAATCTCTATCAGCTGTCAGATGTTTAGGAAGACCCTAAATAGAGTATTGAGATCCTAATTCTTGATTTTACTTTCTCCTAGAAGTTGTCTGAGTGATGATTTTAGCTGGGGCTATCAGTCAGGAAAGGATGGGTCTTGCTGTCACTAATTTCAAATCAGTCCTCTTGTAGTAGGCAAATTTCTCTACCTTTCTTTTAATTTGTCACCATTTCACCTCAAATTATCCCGAAAGGCCATGACCTTTGGAAATACCTTTGAATGTTAAAAATCATCTGATCGAGCCACATATAAACCTGGTCATAAATTATGGGTAATCAATATCAGATTACCCATAATTTTATCTTCATTCATTATTCACACTGTAAATCCTTGATCCAAATACAAAGCTATTATATAAAACTATTTCTTCAACAAACCAACAACAAGAATAAAACAGCTCCTGTAAATAATTACCTTTGGGATATGAAAGAAAATGTAAACATTTTATTTGGCAGTTGTTTCTGAACACATGAATAAATAAATGGAAAAGTACATATTAATATTTCTTTTTGGAGTAACAGATACCATTAAACGCTTATTTACACATCTTCACTGCAAAGAACAGTTACACAATTAAATTTTGTCTTATAAAAGGTAACTTCCCACATCACTGGACTGGACAGTTAAGGATGGAGATACTGGTAGTGCTTGGTTCTAGCAGTCTCAATGTTTGAAAGGCATTCATTTGCAAGTGTAATAAGAAGAGTCATCATGCATTGAGTTCATCCGGGTCATGTACTGTAGAAAATTTCTGATGGCAGCCACAGAATTTGGTGTCTCATGCGCTTAAGTCAACTATGACATGTTTGTAAATCTGTGTATTTCCCTTAAAACTGGAAGCAAAAAGAAAATTACGCTTATTAATGGACACATGTGTGAATGATCTTGGTGCCTGAACATTTAATTCCTGAAATTTCACAAATTTGGCTTTTTCTGCATCCCAGTTATACACTTGAGTAAAGGAGTAATCACTTCCAAGAATTGCATATTGGTAATTATTTATCTGAAGAGGCTGGAACACCATGGATCCTCGCGACGGCATCCTCTGAATATCCTGGAACGAGGAGCCTCCCCATTTCATGACTTTGGAATCACCAATGAATCTTGTCAAGCAAATGTACACGTCCCCTTTCACTGAGAAGTGCTTCACTGCGTACACATCCTCCATGTTAGGAATGTCAGTTTGGTTAGTGAATAATTGTGTTGCTTTGTTCCACTGATAAATTACAGGACGCTGGGAACTACTGGACAGAATTAAATGAGGCGTTCTGAGTGTCTGAGGTGTTCTGACTATTTCTAGATATTCCACATCAGTGTCCCTGTACCACGCGTGTAAGGATTGATGGGAGTAGAATCCGTTTCCGTTCCATTTGTAAATGGTAGTAAAACCAGCTTTTGAACTGTCAGCAACAACAAAGTACCAGTTGTTTTCAATCTTGAATGTTTCAATGTCATTGGGTTTTCGGATTTTGAGAATTTCAATATCCTGGATTTTTATGAATTTATTTGCAAAACTGTCTCGCTTATAGATGTGAGAGCCACCAAACAGCTGGGCCACAATAACATAGAGCTGAGTTTCAATGACTATAGGCTTGCATACTACAGTGGATGTGCCTGGGAAAAGACAAAGGAGAGGTTAGTTGTGTGGCCATCCTCTTTTGGAGCATGTAAACATGCAGGCTGGGGCCATACAACTTCCACCCAAATCAGCCTGAAACAAGAGATCTCCTTGGTTGATTAGGCAAGGCTGGTCTCCAAAGCCCAATGGCAGCAGTGTCCTGAAGTTCTGTGCCTTTGTGCCTCGTGGGGCCTTGTTACCAACAATTGAGTTGTTTACGTCATATCCAGCCTGCTCTAGACGTTCAGGACACACAGCTATGGCCCGAGTGTTCTCTTATTTCTTGCAGAAAGAAAGCGTTACTTTCCCTGACATATTATGAGTTAATCATAACTCTAATGAAAACTACTGTTTACTGAGCATCTATTATGTGCTTTCTCAATTTACCTCATTAATTTTCCCAACAATCTTAAGAGATAAATAGTATCTCTTTTTCCACATGAGTAAACTGAAGCTCAGAGAGGCTGTTTTGGTTGGGGATTCAAAGTCAGGCCTACCAGCGTGTCTATGCTTTTAACCCAAGCTGGGGACAAGTTAGCTATTCCAGGACTTCAAATTTGGGTTATCTAAGATCTTAGGTAACCAAAGGCTAGCATTGTGGTCTGGGTAGCCCATGGCTCTAATGTAATTGTTTTGCTCTAAGTCTGAACTGCTTCCTGCTCTAGAATAACTCGCCTTTCCCCTGCAAAGAAAGGAGATGCCACTTTTCACTTTTCTGGAGCTTTAGGTCACTGGTGGCAGGAGTGAAGAGAAGGAAGAGGGATGTTTAAGAAAATCGAAAGACGGGGGCAGCCATGGGCAATGCTCCTGAAAGTTATTTTGGGAAATCACAGAAAATGATGTGGGATCTGTCAGTGGCCTAGCTTGATATCCTTTGGGGAAGAGTTTGATACTTATCTGACCTGTGAGATTCTGATCTCACAGAAGGAGTTTGGCTCTAGAAAATCCAGAGACAGCTGGGCAAATCTGGGCTTTAGGCCTCTTCTGACTACAGCTCTAGTGCGGGGCAGAAAGTTCTACATTAACTCTTTCTACTAATTGGCTTCATCCATAGGCAAGGTAGTCTTCTTTGTGACTCTTTTCAGGGCTAAACTGATTGTATGATCTTAAGAAAATCATTTAACTTCTCTGAGGCTCAGTTTTCTTTTCTGTACAATGAGACTTTAGACTAGATTAAGGATGGCCACCAGATTCCAACACGTACCAATACTGATTGGCTCATTGACTGTGATTGTCTGGGGAACTGTGTTGAGAAGGATTCTGTGGCCGTGTCTGCACTCTACATGAACGATTACCATGATGGATTAGTGATGCCTGTCTAGAGTGAAGGAAGGGATAATGACTGAGCATGGGACACATATTTGTCATCTGCTATGGTTGGAATGTTTGTGTCCCTCCAAAATTTATGTTGTAGTTTAATCCCCAGTGTAATAGTATTAAGAAGTGGGGTGTCTAGGAGGTGATTAGATCATGAGGACTCCACACTCATGAATGGAATTAGTGCCCTTGGAAAAGGGCTTGAACAAGTCTGTTAGATCTTTTTTTGCCCTTCTGCCATGTTAGGACATAGAGAAGGCACCGTCTTTGAAGCAGAGAGTGAGCCCTCACCAGACCCTAAATCTCCTGGTGCCTTGATCATGGAGTTTCCAGCCTCCAGAACTATGAGAAATAAATTTCTGTTCTTATAAATGACCCAGTCAAGGTATTTTTTGTTACAGCAGCAAGAAGGGACTAAGACATCATCCTAGACAAGATGCTCTGAGGTGCCCTCTGAAATTTTGCAGATGTATGACTTATTTCTCTTGTAAGTGCTCATCTAAAGAGCCATTCAAAGAAATTCATGAACCATACACAAGTAAGAAGAGCCTGGTTTTGACTGCACAGAACCCTGCTATAGTCCACTGGAAAACTTATGGGGGACTAGGGAAACATGACCTTCTTCCTTCAGAAAGGAGGATTCTAAAAGAAAGGAGTTTCTTTTAGATTATAAAATGGTCTCAGTTTGGAAGGGATCCCTTTATTTAAGTAACCCCAGCCTTGAGCAAGCCCCAGACCTGTCTTGGTCCTTTGAGCAATGAGGGTGATGGCTACCAGTAAAATCTCTCATGACCCTCCATGCCTTATCTAAAGGCTTACCTTTTATGGGGAGGTGTGAGTGCTCTTGAGAGCCGATTTAATGGTATTAGAAGCTAAAGCTGATATTAAATATTGTAGAGGGAGCCCTATGTTCTAACTAATGACTTATAATTTTAAAAATTATTAAAATGGGAAAGAGACTTAAGAGATCAGCTAAGTAAGGCCAGGCAAGGTGCTTCATTCCTGTAATCCCAGACCTTTGGGAGGCCGAGGCAGGTGGATCACTTGAGGCCAGGAGTTTGAAACCAGCCTGACCAACTTGGCAAAACTCCATCTCTACTAAAACTACAAAAATTATCGGGGCATGGTGGCGCACGCCTGTAGTCCCAGCTACTTGGGAGGCTGAAGGACAAGAACTGCTTGAACCCAGGAGGCTGAGGTTGCAGTGACCCCAGATCATGCCACTGCACTCCAGCCTGGGCAACAGAGTGAGACTCCGTCTCAAAAAAAAAAAAAAAAAAAAAAAAAGAATTAGATTCCATGGCCAAATTAAGGGTGAAAAATACGGGAAAAATTTCCTCACTGCAGGACTTCTCGGATTCACAGATGTATGTATTATGAATCTACAAGACCAAGATATGGTTCACGAGTTTATTGAACCACAAAATCCTTTTTGTTACAAGGCATACATTAACATTTTGTAGAAGAAATGTTTGTGTAACAAAGTTTGAGACTTAGTGATCTAAAATTACCTTCTTATCTTATAGTTAAGAAAAAGGGGTTGGGGGTATCCGTGAGTATGAGTGGCTCGCCCAAAGAGACTGTGGCAGAACCTGGACTAGAACTCCTGATTCACCATCCAATACTTTTCTTTGAAGAAAAATAATCAAATATTTACTGATTATGTATTATACTAGACCCTATGCTAAGTTTCTTGAATATGTGTTCACATGATCTTATTAACAACCCTGTGAGTTAAGTATTAATATTATTCCCATTTTACAAGTGGGGAAATTATGGCTTAGAGAACAATCCCAGGTCATTTAGCAAATGGTAGAGTTGAAATTCAAATGACGTTAGGTCTGCTAAAGCTTTCCCCTATACCACTCATCTTTCCTTGTTGCCCTTGGCTGAAGTAATTTAACTTCCCACTCAAAATATTATTAGGCTTTTCATACCTGTAATGTTGTCATAATTCCGGAAGGTCTTTTCCACATGGTCCCATTCAAGGAAAATGCATTTTCCAGTAAAAGGCTGAGCGATGACTACATACTCATCATTCAAATAAGAAAAAGTGTCTATGGACAATGATTGATAAGGCAGGTCTTGAGACTTTGCAAATTCTGCAAAAAGAGGAAATGATAAATAACTGTGAGCTAATACCTCTTTCCTTGGCTGGATCTCAAATATTCATAAGAAATACATGTATTTCAGAGAATAGTAAAATGGCCATTTTACTTTTCTTTTAAACGCATGAAGCATTGTCAATGGTTCATAATTTTTTAAAAATTAAATTGCTCAGTTGGTTTTTAAGATATAAAAAATATCAGTTCCTGCATACGGAAAAAAAAAAAAAGGTAGCTCTTATTTTAATTTTATGAGATGGAATGATGATGAGTACATTACCTGTAATGATGCAATCGAAATCCTTGGAGGAGAGACTATTGATTTTGCGCTTCTTGTATTCTGGGGGGCCTTCACAGTAGATGTCTTCAACAGTTGCATTGGTGTGGCCAAGCCATTCCACTAGCCATTTCAGTTTACAGTCACAATTAAATGAATTACCCCTCAGGTCCCTGAAAGACAAACTTCAGCTGCTTTTGCTGTACAAGGGCCCTACCCACACAGGAGAGAGTTCTACATGAACAATTAACATGTGCAGAATGACCTTACCCAGCTTTACATCCTGCCCTATAACCCACCTGGAACCTGACTGACCACTCACTTGGGGCTCAGAGACTTAGCACCATGCACTTGAAGACTACCCAGTCAATGGAACCTCATCACTTACTCCCTCTTGGATCCCCAAGTGGCTTAGTCTAGGGCTGTGCTGTCAATAGAAACAGTATATGAACCATAAATGTAATTTAAAATTTTCTATAGCCACATTAAAAAAGTAAAAAGAAGCAGGTATAATTCATTTTAATAATATGTTTTATTTAACCCAGTACATACAAAAGATTATCATTTTGACACATCATCAATATAAACATTATTGAGATATTTTACATTCCTTTTTTATACTAAGTCTTTGAAGTCCAGTGTGTATTTTATACCTATAATATATCTTAATTCAGATGCTAAATTTTACCAGAAATAGGTGATCTATATTTAGATGTCATAAAATTCATGATTGAAAAAAAAGATGTATATACCCAAATTGTTCCAAACATACTTAACATTTTCCAATAATTGAGCTGAGAATCAGCTTTTAAATTTAAATTTAACTGTTAAAAAATTAAGTAAAATTTAAAATTCAGTCTCTCAGTTGTACTAGGAGCACATTTTAGGTGCTCAGTGACCATAGATGTCTGGTGGCTACCCTATTGGACAGCACAGGTCTAAAGGACAGAATGTAGTGATTATTGTAATGTATTTAATTAAATCAAGTGAGCTGTTTGCTTCTCTTCTTCCTCACAGACATAATTAATCCTGATCCTCTTCTGTGGTCTACAAATTCAGTTTAAATAGGAAATGACTTTGACACAGCAAAGTTAGCACAGACATACAATCGCTCATGCCTGTAATAAGTTATACAGCATAGACCATTTACATTTCCACATATGACCCCAACTCACCAAGTTCTCTGTGTATTTGCATTGCTTCTGTTCAGGAATTCCACCTCCTTTCCTGGTCACATAGAATTCTTAAGATAGGTGCTGCCTACTCTTCACACCGCACATAAATAATTTTTAAACGCCCAAACATTTAAAAATGTTTTTTAGAGGATACTTTCAAGAAAGCCAAGAAATCCACTAAAAGGCAAGTTGGCATGGATCCTTGTACTTCTAAGATAATTCTTGATTTGGGCATATTAGAGTAGGTCCAAAAGGCTAAACCCATCTTGGGATTCCCTGGAGAGACTGAGCCAATTTCAATATTTTTTTGTTTTGTTTTTCACTAGTGTAGGGTATAGACTGACACAAAAATGGGGTAAAGGATCCCCAATGAGCTACATCCCACGTCACCCATGGAGTGTGTTCTAACTTCCAAGACACTCCCAGAACTGACCTAGTCTCCCAGGAGAACTCTGACCCACACTAATGAGTGGCAACCTTTCAGGCTAGTGTAAACCAGAGAAGATAACTATGGTCTGTCCAGGACTCTCTTGGAAGAATCCTGATTTGGGCGTTCTCTTGGAATTAAACCATCATTCAGGAATTGGGGTAATAGACATGGAGGAGGGGCTGGGGAAATACTGCAAGGAACAAAGAAAGTTTTTCATTAGGCTACTGATTTGAAGTTAAATACTGGGCTTGGAAAAAAGTACTTGACTCAGATTTTCTTTTTGTTTGTTATTGGAGAAAAGTTATTTTGAATATATAGTCTACAGCAAAGTACCTGAATACTTTTTTTAAAAAGCCTTTGTTTTCATATATCCTTTCATTTGTTCCTGTATTCCACCTTATGACATTTAAATACCTTTCTAATGTTCTGGAAGGCAAATAATGAAGCTGAATTGCTTTTGAGAGGTTTAGGCATATATTACTTGCTTTGCTTACAACAAAATGTACAAATTCCTTGCAAAGATCTTTCACTCGGAGGCTTAAAAGTCAAAGTTTGAAAGCTCTTTTGTTTGAAAAAGGGTCAAAAATAATTAAGTTCATTCCCTTCCTGGGGCTTAAGCCAAATTCCTGGGGATTAAGCTTAGAGTTGTTGTTCAGTCTAATGAGAAAAAAGGCAAACTTTTCTCCCTTCCCCCACTTCCTGCTCCATTTCTCTGTTGACTGACCAACCCAAGGGTGTAACCTTTCATCTTTATTCTGTCAGTTTCCCAGACTCCTTTATGTTTTCCCTTTGTAGCCCTATTTCCTGGACCTCATGAGAAAAAAGGGATCTTGAAATTTCTAGCCGGGTCTCTTCCCACCTTGTCAAAGTCCCTTACCATCGCTCCCTGCCATATAGACACACACTTTGTCAAAGGAATGCCTGGCTGCCACATATTCAGAATTTCCAATGATAAATATCACAGAAGACTCAAATGTTAGTCCATGTAAATTTAAATTTTTAGCCAGTTAAAATTCAGATTTACAAATCCTAATTTTAATTTAAAAGCCAATTAAAAATTCTAATAATCAATACCAGGCTTCCTTGTTAATGACTGCAAATTAATTAATTGTTCATTGATTTCTTAGGTCCTCTTACACATTTGTTAAAGAATCCAGGCCTTTGAAAATATCTTTTGGGAGTGTCTGGAGATTGTTGTTTGCAAGGCTCCTGGAAAAAAAAAAAAAGGTGATGTAAACTGTAGTGATAAATTAAACAAAGGCATTTACTGATAAAGTTTAGTTATGAGTCTCTTTTGTCATTTCCAGCCTACTAAATGACTTGTGGTCCTTTTTTACTTCTGAAATACTACTCAGATTCCTGCTGTTGTCCTTTCAGTTCCTAACCTGTTCACGTCAACACCCACTCTGTATTTATTTATTTTTATTTTTATTTCTTGAGACAAGAGTGTCGCTCTGTCACCTAGGCTGGAGTGAAGTGGTGTGACGTCAGCTCACTGAAACCTCTGCCTCCCGGATTCAAGTGATTTTCCTGCCTTAGCCCCCCTAGCTGGAATTACAGGTGCCCACCACCACACCCGGCTAATTGTCGTATTTTTAGTAGAGACAGGGTTTCATCATGTTGGCCAGGCTGGTCTTGAACTCCTGAGCTTCAGTGATCCGCCTGCCTCGGCCTCCCAAAGTGCTGGGATTACAGGCACACTCAATATTTAAACAACATTTTATGTTGGTTAAAAACAACAATGATTCCTGGGCATTGATCTTTCCATTTAGAACAGAACACGGGAGAGTCACACACTCGGACACTCAGTCTAGGGGATATCTCCCAAATGATGACTAACCAAACTAGTGAGTGTCCATCTCCAAAATGCCCCCTCTCCTCCCGCCTGGGCTGCCCCTTCCTCCTCGCTTGCTCCGGAGAGCAGCCAAACCTCCAACCCACAGTGCCAATAGCTCTATCCCTTCCCCAGCACATCCTTTCTCCTTTCCGAAGCCCACGCCGCCTTTTCCTTTCTAGCTCCATTCATTCCACCTCAGAAAAAAGTTTTCTTATAAATACCTATCCAACTATTCTCTTTAATCATCTCCCTCTTTCTCCTTCTTCTGGTTCTTTTCCTGTGACTACAGGAATGATTTTTCCCTTTCCCTTTCTATTTGTTCTTCCACAAATCACTAGAATGATTCTAATCAACGTTAATGAGTAAAAAATTGTCCTGATAATGCCAAGAAAAGGGAAATGTGTCCCTAGTACACAAATATAGCACAGTACTAATGCTGTATGACTGGGGAAGGTCACCAGGTAGTGTAATTTTCTATTTTTAACCAGCACCATATATATATATACACATGTTATAAACTTTTCTTAGAGGTTTTTTTTTTTTTCACAATAAAATTAAAAAACTAAACTAAAAGTAAAGAGCCCATACCATTAGCCTCTAAACCCTTGAAAATTCTCTCGACTTCCCTTTAAAACATTCTCAAAAGTCTATGTCTTCTACCTCCACTAATTAAATATAAGATTTCTCAAGTGCAAACATTCAAGATTTTTAGAACTTATTTTTAAGTTAGTTACGTTGTTTTTCTGGGTTTTAGAAATTACTACTAGTTTGGAAAATGGTTCTCAAAGAACCTTGGAATGTAAGAATAGGAACTGAGTCAGAACGTTCCATGCTCCATGGTGGTCCAATTGTGACAAAGAGCATGGCTTTTGGAGTGATTCTGAGCTACGTTTGAATCCTGACTCCAGCATTTACTGGTTGTGTGACTTTGGTAATGTATCTTCTTGGAAATTCAGTTGTTTCATTTTTAAGTGAAGATAATAATACCTTATCTTATAAGATTATTGGAAAAAGAAAATTAGATAATCAAGGATGGTGCAGGCATCTGTACTACTCTCAGTAGAGTGGCTGGCATCAGAAGAGCAGAATGGCTTCTGTATGTACATTGTCCAAGAAAAAACGTTTAGAAACAGACCATACGAATGAGCTGCTATGGCTGTCCACATACAGCAAAATTAACAAAATACCACTAAGGAGGACTATTCAAGAGAATGTCTCCATAATTCATCTTACTGACTGGTGTTTGAATGAAGAGATTTTCTGATGTCTTGGACCAGTCCAGAGTCACTCCCCATGTTATGTGTCTCAGTTTATTTTCTGGCATAATGTGGCTTAAAGTTATCATACTAACTTCTAAGTGGATGTCCCTTCCTCTGAAGCTGGCAAAAACTGCAACTGGCTGCAGGGCATAAATTTAGAGGAGGTTGAGTCACAGGACAGTGGGCATGCAATGATTAAGCAATCAAATCCTGAATTACTACTGCCAATAGGGCTACACAGGAAAAGGCACTGTGCTTGTCTTACTGTCGGAGGGGAATTCTTTTTTTATTTTTTTTTTGAGACAGGGTCTCACTTTGTTGCCCAGGCTGGAATATAGTGGCGCGATCACAGCTCACTGCAGCCTCAACCTCCCTGGCTCAAGTGATCCTCTGGGCTCAGCCTCTCCAGTAGCTGGGACAACAGGTGTGTGCCACCATGCCCAACTGAGTTTTTTTTATTTGTAGAGACAGAGTCTTGCTATGTTGCTCAGGCTTGTCTTCAACTCTTGGGCTCAAGCTATCCTCATGCCTCTTCCTCCCAACGTGCTGGGATTACAGGTTTAAGCCACCTACCCTGTGGGATTCTTTTAAACAATGGGTGAATCTGGAAATTCTACTTCCTGCCCAAAGGAGCAGAGCTTTAGGCCTCACATGATCCATGTGAGATAACCACAGAACAGATGGCAAAACAGAGCTGCAGACTCGGAGCTACGGGGCTTCCAGAACGGAGAGGCAGTATTTTTGCATGACAAGATGGAGGGCTTCTTATTCGCCAGAACTGCGAGATGGGGCTGAGAAAGACAGGCTGGCCCGATGGGCTGTGGGATGAGGCATTACATTTCCTGACAACTTCTTGTGACAGAGGCTCTTGCCTTGGGAACCAAAGGGTTGGGGAGGCAGGAGTCAGAGGGAGAAATGGTGGGTGGATTCGCTGAACCCAGTGTCAACCCTTTGCTGCTTCGCTACCAAAACTTCAATGAAATCCTTGCCCACAATGGACTGCTCTTAGAGGAGAAAGGATGAAGCTTCATGTCTAGGTTTGGTGAGTGATGGGCATGAGAAGGCTGCCTGGATTCACTAAGAGAAGCAGAATCAAGAGGAAGTAAGATTCAGACATGACAGCGGGGCTTCCAGACACCCAAAGCCAGGGACCTGGAGTTCAGATAGCTTCCCTAAGTCTCTGGCAGGTCCCAGTGACATCAGGGTACATTTGGATAAAAGTAAAGCAGGCAGTGGGATTTGGGCAGAGAACGACTTAGGAAAGCAATGTTGACAGAGCCTGAGAATTATTCTGCAAAAAAATGTAACAGGTTGCCAGGGTGCGGTGGCTCACGCCTGTAATCCCAGCACTTTGGGAGGCAGCGGTGGGCGGATCACCTGAGGTCAGGAGTTCGAGGCCAGCCTGGGCAACATGGCAAAATCCTGTATCTACAAAATACAAAAATTAGCTGGGAGTGGTGTGTGCCTGTGGTCCTAGCAACTCTGGGAGGCTGAGGTGGGAGGATGGCTTGAGCTCAGAACTTGAGGCTGCAATGAGCCATGATTGCACCACTGCACTCCAGCCTGGGTGACACAGGGAGACCCTGTTCCAAAAAAAAAAAAAAAAGATATATATAAAGGATTGTGTAAATAAACGATGGTCCATATGTAACATGGAATACTTTGTAGGAGACTTTAAAAATGAGGTAGGTCTCTATGATTTAATATGAAGTGATACCTAAGGGTAGAGTGTCATCTCTCTGGAGCAAGAAGGACAGACACATGTCTGTGGATACACAAAGAAAACTCTATCAGAAGATACAAAAACTGTTGATTGAGGTTGTATCTTGGCGTATGGTTACTGGAATCTTTCACTTTCCTATGTAAATACATATTTATGTTGTGCATTTTTATCATCAAGCATGTATTATTATTTTATAATCAGAAGAAACAAAGAATAGAGTTGACTTTTTGAAAGGATCCTGTTACTGAGTACTTGTACATAAATATGGTTCTGTCCAGTGAGGGTTCAGTCATTCAAAATCAATCATTTGGCTGCATTCATCAACTTCCAAAGCTACCTACAGGGTTAGATTAGGAATTACTGTCATGGCCCGAACTCTGGGGCCTGAGTGGTCAGATCATGCAAATGTCTTTCACAAGACCTCCTGCAGGAGGGAGCTGCCTGTTTTCTAAAAAATTCCCATGCAGTTTCAGGCCCTCACCCTTTAGGGAGATTGGGGCTACAAGGCTGTCCAGGCTTGAAGCCATTGCTATGGTTCTTTGCCCCAGCTTAAAGTCAGCTGTGATGAGGGTCAGCTGTGATGAGGGTCTGTTGCCTCCACAAATCATCATGGGCATCTGAGGGCTTCAGGGAGATTCACTGCAGGAGAGAGCTGCTGAGGGCTCTGGGGCCAGGGGCACCAGGAAAAAAAAGGGCAAGTCACGTGACGTTCCCTGAAAACTCCTCAGCATTTAATCATAAAAATGGGGTAAATAGCATGAGATCTGGTGGTTATCAGGGAATTTAAACAGCTAGAGAGACTGAGATAGCACTTTGTGGGTTAGAGTTAAGGTTATTTTAGGGTTTATATTAGGATTATTTGATTCTTCAGATTCCACCTCTGCACTGAGTTTTGCTACCAGAAAGCAAAATACCTGGATAAAATTTTTGCAGTTCTGCCTTCATCCCACTCCCAGCTTCACAGAGTAGTGACTTAATATTATTATTAACTTTTCCTCAACAGAAGCTCTCATTGCTATATGTGCTATGTGTTTGTAAAACTGGTTGTAGCTATTCTTTCCTGCATCACTTAGTGTAGTGTAACAGTTTAAGTGCCAACTTCGTCCAAATCCACCAGGGATTAAATTTGAACGTCATCACTCTTTGGAATGTGTCCTTAGCCAACTTAATTTAACCTCTCTGGGTTTCTGTTTTGACATCTGCAAAACTGAGTAAAGGGTATGAATTTCACTTATTGTGAGAATTAACACATGTAGTTACTAATATTTTTATACACGTATCTTTGTAATGGATTCCAGGAAAAACTATCTGCAGGTGAATCTTTAAACCTTATGTGTTAAGACCACAAAACTAATCTTTTTCTTTGTTGTTATAGTCATTAAACAGTGAT